GGGCCCAGAGTAGAAGGCTGAAAGGAGACAAAGCCTCCATCCTCCAGTGGGAGGAGATCCCCTTTATGTAAATTTTGAGAACCCTCCTAACATCTAAGGTGGGCCACCTGTTCTCCAGGACATGTGATGGGCCTGGACAGAACTTTGGCAGGATCAATTCCTGGGCCCTATGGAGCCAGGAATTCCAGCTCTGAGATCCTTCTGGCTGACGTAATGGCAATCAGGAAGGCTACCTTGCAGGTAAGGAAACGTAATGTAGCCGACCTCAGTGGTTCGAAGGGACTCTCCATGAGAGCATTAAAAACCTTTGATAAGTCCCAGGTAGGGTTCCTGTGTACCACTGGTGGCTTCAAGTTTGTTGTGTCCCTGATAAACCTGTGCACGGTGAGGTGCTGTGAAAGAGCTCCCAGGGACCCATATGATAAGACTGATGACAATGTGGCCACTTGTCTACGGATGGTGTTGTCAGTCCCTTGTCCGTCCTGGAGAAACTCTAGAATCTGACTGACTGACACCAGATAAGGGTCAATGTCCTTGCTGGAACACCAGCTGCAAAAGGCTGTCCAGGTTGCATTGTATATCCTGTCAGTGGAAGCCTTGATCACCCTAGAGGAGAAATTGAGGACTGCACACCCAAATGCCAGATGGTCAACTGAAGCCACAGAGGGTCCAAGTGGACAAGGGCCCCCTAGATGAGGGAGATTTTGTCCTGAGAGATCCTCCAGGGTCACTCCACCAACGGACTCACCAGGTAGGCAAACCATGGTCTTCTGGGCCAATATGGTGCAAGAAGCAGCAGCTGTGCCCTCTTCTTGAGTACCTTCCTGATTACCTCCAGAATCAGGGGAAATAGGAAAAAGGTATACAGGAGTCCTTGGGGCCATGGACTGCGAAGGGCGTCAATCCCTTCTGCCCCCGGTGCTGGAAACCTGGTGAAGAACATGGGCAGTTGTGCGTTAGCTGGGGTGACAAACAGGTCCAGAACTGGAGAGCTGAAGCATTCCATCAGTTCCTGGAATAAGGCTGGGTGCAGGCGCCATTCTGAATGATCCACTGTGGCCCTGCTGAGCCAGTCTGCTGTCACATTGCTGACCCCTGAAATATGTTCTGCTCTCAGGGACAGAAGGTGTCTCTCTGCCCAGAGGACCAGTGACTCTGCCTTGCATGAGAGGTCTTGACTGGGTCCCGCATTGGTGGTTTATATGACCCTTGGTAGCCACATTGTCTGTCAGGATCAAAACATACTGTCCCGATACAGAGTTCTGGAATTTCTTGAGTGCCAGGTGCACAGCCCTCAATTCTAGCCAGTTGATATTGTGGCTCAGGTTTGTCTGAGTCCATTGACCTTGGGCTATCAAAGATTGTAAGTGTGCTCCCCAGCCAAACAGGCATCCATCATGATAGTTAGATGGGTGGGAGTCTTTAATAGGCATCCCCTGCTGATGCCTGGGTATGTCCACCATTCTAGGCACTTCAGCACTTTTGGTGGCACTCAAACTCTGAATGGTGAGAAGCTCCTACTTGTCTGTTGGTATGGCAGGAGGAACCACTCGAGAGCGAGCCCATGGAACGATAGATATGCAAGACACCATCTTGCCCATGAGCTGTGATAGGAGTGCCAGGGAAGCTAGCTGCTCCTGCAAAATGTGATATGTCAGTGTCTTAAGACTGAGTTGTCTGTCTGGGGAAAGGGATACCTTGCACTTTACCACGTCTATGACTACTCTCAGGTGCAGCAGGCGGTTGGTTGGCAACAGATGGCTCTTTTCGATGTTGATCAGGAATCCATGCTCCTGGAGTACTCGGGTTGTGATGTTGAGGTCCACCTTCTCTTGAGCCTCCATGGGAGACTGGATGAGGATGTCTTCCAAGTATCACTGGGTTCTTACCGGAAGTGCTTGGACGTGAGCCGCCAAAGCTGCTAAGAGCTTTGTAAAGGCCCTGAGTGCCGACGACTGGCCAAATGGCATGGCCTTGTATTGGCAGTGCCGACCTGCATAATGAAATCTGAGAAACTTCTGGTGAGCAGGCAAGATTGGTATATGGAGGTATGCCTCTGTCAAGTCTATTGATGTTAGGAACTCAACCTTCCTGATGCATTCTAGTATTCACTGGAGGAAGTGTATCTTGAACTGCTTGTTTGTAAGATACGGGTTGAGCCTCTTGGGCTCTAGAATAGCTCTCCATCCTCCCAAGTTTTTCGGAACTACAAACAGGTTGGAATAAAACCCCTGCCCCTGTTGGTCCTGGGGGACCAGATGAATGGCCTGAATGTCCAGCAGGTGCTGGATGGCTGATTCCATCAGGCCTCTTTTAGTTGGGTCCCATGAAATGGGGCAGGTCAGAAAGCAACTCGGAATAATAGAGTGAAACTCTAGAGCGAGGCCCAGCCATACCGTATTTAAAACCCAGTGGTCTGCTGTGGGCTTCCCACTGGTGAGCGAAGGAGCTGAGGTGACCACCAATGGGAAGGTCGCACTTGTAAGCACCGGGAACAGTGGTAAGGGAAGCTTCCTGAGCCTCAAAAGGGCCGCTTGCCCTGAGGTGCTCGTTGATTCCTGAAGCCAGGTCTATCAGTCTGTCTGTCCTGTCTGCTGGAAAAAGGCCTTTAGGGCTGCTGGTAATCAAGCCCCACCTCTGAGGACTGCCCTCTAAAATAGGGTGATGGGTGACAGTCCACTCTCCGGTACAGAGTGGGCAGGCCCTTTCCCTTTGTTTCAACCAGGAAGAGGGTCCAGGGCCTCTCCAAATAACTTATTGCCCTTGAAAGGAGCAGAAGCCAACTTCCATTTATTTCTGTTATCTGTCTGCCAGTGCTTAAGCCATAGCATGCGTCTGGCAGTGACTGAGGACGCGATAGACCTGGATGCGAACTTGGTCGCATTCAGGGTGGCATCTGCTGAGTATTCAGCTGCAGCCACCAACTTGCTGATGTCCTGGTAGAACCTGTCATCGGGTGGTGCCCTGGCTTGCATTTGGCAGAGCCAGATCAGGGATGTGCGGTTAAAAAATGACGCTGCTGTGGCAGCTTTCACAGCCTAGGCCAAAGCCAGATGGGTTTTGCGGAGGGCTTGTTCAACTCTCTTGTCCTCAAGTTTCAGGCTCTCCATCGCATTAATGGCCAAGGGAGTGGCTGATGTTAAGGCCACCAGTGGCCCATCCACTAAAGGTAGTTGTAGCAATTCAGACATTTCTGGAGCTACATTGTAAAGCCTCCTTTCCGTCCCAGTCGGGTGAGGCCCTGTCCCTGGGTTACCCCACTGTCACTTGACGACGTCCAGGAATAATTTGGGGGGGGGGATGGGATGACTTCTGCCTCTATGGTCGGTTCAGAAAAGACCAAGTAACCAATTTCCCTCGGCTCTGGGGTTGATTTTGGCACTGACTCTGTCCCCAAGTTTGTAGTTGCCTTGGCCTTGTGTCATAAAGGCTTGAAGAGATCAGGCCAGAAAGGGCCATTGAAGGGAGATGGTTCTGGAACCATCCCTTTGTCTTCAGAGGACAAGGCCCTGATTCTCTTACTCACTCTGCATAGATTGGGCCTGGGAGGGTACCTGTGAAGGGACCATCCAGGAGCCTTGAGTCATAAGGGACAACCTCTGAGCTTGATAAAATGGCGCGGCTTGTGCCGACTGACTGCTTTGCTGCAAGACTGCAGCGATGCCTTGAGTGATTACTTGTGAAATGATCCTAGTGAGATGGTCAGATATTTCTGGCCCATGATCTTCCCCTGGGCGGAGTCCTGCTGCAGTGGGGGTAAAAGTTGCCTTGGGTCCGGGTCTTAGTCCCAAGTGAGAGCCCTGAGTCTCCATCTCTGAGGCAGAGAAACTGGGAAAAACTGCACCAAAAGCTTCAGAGCTGTCTTTGCCTTGAAGAAATCAGCTCACTAGCTCCCTCTGGCGAACAGGAGAGGGAGCTGGCTGGTTGCAAGAGACTTGCAGGATTGCAAGCCTCCAACTGTCTGCCTTCAAAAGGGTGGGAACAAACGGTTCCTGTCAGGGGGGGACGACTCCCGTGCCTTTGGAGTCTAGCTGCCTTCTCCACTTTGGCCATCTTCTTTTCCAATGCCTTTTGCCTTCGTTTGGCATCTTTTTCCGCTGCCTTGGAACTAGAGTTCCTAATGGAGAGTCCCTAATGTCCCCGCACGGTTCTGGAGGCTGTTGGCTAGCTGAAAATCACGTCATCAAGCAGACTGGTCCACAATGGACTGCTGCTGCCATGGCTTGGGTCTAATAGTCTATGCCGATCACGCGAACTGCCTTCAGTGTCTGGGCAAAGCTGGACAGTGATTGAGTCCCCCTACTATAAAGCAGCTACGCCAGGGGCCTCGGCTCGGTAACAAGGAACGGGCTCTGAATTTCAGCCCCCCTCCAATGCTTCGCAGGAATGGCGCAGACCTCGGCAATGGAATAGCCAGAGAAACATCTAACCAGTGGACCAGTTAGCCGACCTGATCGCCTTTGCAATGTAAAAAGAATTTTTTCCTGCCTCACAGAATGAAGATCCAGGAATCCCTGCTGAGAAACCATTTGCCTTTTAAAATTAAACATGTCTTGACTGCCGAAGACTGAGCCAAAACTGGGAGGAAACCAGTAACAGGGATGTTACCAAAAAAGATGACAGACTCAGTCTCCAGGCAGAAGAAGAGAGCAACACCCAATCCTGGTTGATCTATCCCTAAATTTAAAAAGTTTATAATTTACATTAATTGTGTAAAACTCTGTACCCTGTTTTCTGGAACCATTAGATTTGAAAACATTTTCTTTTTAATTCTAAAATAGATTATTACATATTTTGGGGACTGATAGAAAAATATAAACTTGCAGTACATAAGAAGAATGAATCGTATCTATTGGAGAGATTAAAAGTTATGAAAGTCTTACACTAATTTGATAAGGCAAGTGAAAGCATTCTTTTAAACCAGAAAATAAATTTAAATACATTTCTTGAAATAACAAAAGTATTTTTTTTTTTTTTGCTTTTCATCTGACTACAAATAGTTGACATTTTTCATGTTGAACATTTTATTTAGGTCACTATTATAGGAAAGCAATTTTATTTTAAAAGAAATTAAATAACATTGTTAATTAATTAAAAAAAATATTCTATTCATGTCTTTTGCTTCGGTGTGTCACAGTATGGGGCATTGTCTCGTAGTACCTCCTTTCTTGGTAAAAGCTCTGGGAAAAAAAGACATTATTATTAGATTTTAAACACTATTGTTTAAACAAGGGCAACACTGTCTTTCTAGTACTCTAATAATAATGGAGACTGTAGAATTAACAGCAGTATTTTCAATAAATGGGGATTTGTAAAATTATAATCTAATTACAAATACATATAGTATATTTAAATATTCTGCCTTTGCAAAGACCATTCAATATTCTTTACCTTTTTTCCATAGTCAAGTCATCGTAAAAGACTCTGTACTAAGGTAAAACATTCATTCACCCAGCCAAGTATTATTTATTTCAATTGGTGGTGGGTTTCCTGAGTTTGAGGCAGGAATTGTTCCAGTTAAATAAGAAGTTAAACAAGTAAATCAATCCAAGAAGAAAAAAATGGCAGACCATTTCTACACTATTGTATAATGTTATGTGATAATCAAGAACTGAGCTCTAAAAGGATCCTTATCCCCTTTAAATGTGCAGAGACTGAACCTGTGACTTCCTGCCACAAAGAAAAGCTTTATTACTGAGTCACAAACCCCTGTGAGTACTGTAGCTAACAAAGATTTGATGAATGTAATGCTCAATTATTTCTTATTCTTCAGTCAAACCCCCCCACCCCCACCCCAATGAATGTTCAGTAAATGGAACAAATGTGGCATGGTGGTTAAGGTATCAAATTAAAACTATGGAAATCTCTGTTTGTATCCAGTCTCAGCCATGGAAACCTAAGGGATGACTGTGGTGTTGACATGTTGCCCTTGGTGTCAATAATGAAGTGGATAAATAAAAAAGATGTTCATGCAATGCACAGCAGCTTTCAAAAAGGCAAATTTCCATGCTACTGATCATTAAGAAAGGGATTAAAATGCCAACAGAAAATTATGCTACCTTCATATCTGGAATTCTAGTTAAGGTTTTGATGCAAACTGAATCTATACATATTTGGGATTAAAAGTGGTTTAACCCGTTTGAATTAATCATAACATTTTATATTTTAAGTTGCAGTTCCCACATTCCACAGGATAGAAAAATAGAGAAAACATATGCATTTTATTGGATGGGAGCTTTTCAGGTATGCATTATCTAATCAACTCTTAGATACAATATTACAAATATATATTAATGAAAACATTAACATTTGTTAAAATATTTAATTATTCAAGGTATAAAGTTTCTATTAAAACAGATTCAGTTGGAATTAGGCAAACAGATAATTTGATAGTTAACTATAACGCTTTCATAACTTACTGATATTTCATCAATATTCCACTATTAATTAAAGAACTACTTGAAATATCAACCTGCCGTAAACAGAATATTAGAAATCTATAGAATTTCTATTTAATTAATATATTAATTAAATCTAATTAAATTCTGATATTGTATAATTATCACATGTACCTCATCATCCATCCATGCATCCATCAAATATTTATAGTTAATAAATAAAATACACTGTGCCAAGCTTTAGCTTCGTGTATCTTGTACTCACTATTAAACAGATTAATAAAAGCTGCAAGAATGAGAATCTATACTTACTTATTTTGTTGGCATCCACATAAACACCTTGTAGGACACATGTTTTAAGTATAACTTCCACATCTGAAGCTAATTTTATAAGCTGGGTGGAGTTGGGAAACAGAATTAATAATTATTCACCAATATATTTTGCTTTCTGATCATCCATGAAACGTTACTACAAGTTCATTGTACATTTCATAACTGAGTGTTTCAAAGGATCCTTATCTTTGATACTGATATTACTATATTTATATTACAAATGATTTAATAGAATATGGATTTTCCCCCCAGAACTAGCAAGGCATATTCATGGGATGAAGATTTAATCATAAAAAACATGCATTTCCTTGCAAAAAAATCAAAAGTGAACTTTTCAATATATTTTCTTTATAAATAACTAAAGAATGCCTGAAACTATTAGTTTGTTTAATATTTTTTCCTCTTTGAAACATTTTTATTCTTCCAATATTAATATTAAATTTTCATGTTTGACATCTTTCATTTATTTATATTGCACCTACTACTAGAAATCCTTACAATGCTATCACCCGACTTCAAAGAAGTAGTCAGAGATCTATCAACTGGATAGCACTAAAAAGGTTTCACACTTTATTAAAACGTAAAGCAGAAATATACTACTTGATACACATATAGTAAATATAGTTTATTTTGGTTTCAGATCAGTATAATTTTATCATTTCATCAGGTTCATGAATAATTTGACAGTCTATTTCTCCAAATCTAAATAATTATCTGCATGAATCAGCTTGTAAAAATATCTGAGTTACTGATTAAAAGAATAATAATCCATGAAGTATGCAGTAGAGTACCCCAAGGCTCTGTTTTAGGCCCAGTACTCTTTAACATCTTCATCAATGATTTGGATGAGGGAATAAATGGGGAACTCATCATATTTGCAGATGACACCAAGCTGGCAGGAATAGCCAACACTCCAGAAGACAGGCTTAAGATNCAACAACAAAACCTTACACAAGGTTTTGTGTGCGTGTATTTTACATGTTTGTTAATAAAAATTTTTTAAAAAAACCTTTACACAAACATCGCCTTCGCTCGCCCAAAAACAGTATCTTGTCTGCGAAGATACAGCGAGCCATCAACTAACCTCTGCCCTTCGCATCGCTGGGACCGCTGCTCTTGGAGGAACCCCTACTATAGAGGTTTCCGGCAGGAACAAAGCCACGCCAATCCGTGCACGTTATTGGTCTACAGCGACCAATCAGCTGGTGTCCTGCGTCTAAAATGGGAGGAGATAAAAGATGACTCGAGAACTATACAAATAGAGCAGCATCGTGCACGTTATTGGTTCTATGAGAACATTGCTTCCAGGACAGCGGCCAATCAGCGGGTGTCCTGCGTCTATAATGGGAGGAGATAAAAGATGACTCGAGAGCTATACAAATAGAGCAGCAGTATGAAAAGGAAAAATGGGGATAAATTTGCAGGAAAGGAAACGGAATAAGAATCATGGGCGTTCTGGCTAAGCTAATGTTGCTCCACTTCAGCCACTTTTAAGATGTAGTGACTTCAAATCCCAGAATTCTCTAGCCAAACCGGCAGTTGGACGCAGGGTGGTGGGGAGTTTTGGGAGTTGAAGTCCACACATTTTTAAATTGCTGGAAGATTCAGAAACACTCTGCCTGGCACAAAGATTGTGTTAACGGAGAAAATTGTTAATGTTTTCCTTTTATTCAAATTCACATGTCACGGAAATAATAGTATTGTCTGAGGCGATGCTACTTAGAGAAACATTAAAATAATAAAATGGATTACTACAGAGGGTGAACAAATGCCTGAAAGGAAAAGACCACATTTATAAACCTGTTAATAATTTATGAGAAACGCTGAACTCATGAGGTGCATTTTTCCCAGCAGTTTTTTTTAAAAAAAAAAACTTTATTGCCGCATCATGCGATTGCGCCTCTGCACTTTGCCGTTCCTCGGGAAAAGACGAGAAGGCGGAATAAAAATGACGGGCAGAGGAATCGACCGGTAAGACGGGTAGTTCTATCCGCATATTGCTTTGATAGGGCAGTCTTGCCGCTTGTTTGCTATCCTACGCTCGGTATTGGTCAATTCGAGGGGTGTGTGGCCGCGCTATAGAAGGCCCGACGGAGAGGTGGGCGGGCGCTTCTCGTGCAGAGAGATGGCCGATGAGGTTTGCAGGGCTCAGGCGGCTCAGCCGGGCGGGGACACCATATTCGGAAAAATCATCCGTAAAGAGATCCCCGCCAAGATCATCTTCGAGGATGAGAAGGTGGGGAGACGGGGGAGACTTCGGAGCCTTCCCTCCGCTCAAGGGGCGAGTCCACACTTGCATGGCTGGGGCCATAAGTCTTATTTAGCCAAGTCCATTTGCCTTTTTCGGCTTCAGTGCCACGCTGGACCGGCATTCGCATGACTTCGAGTCATGTTCTGTGGCCGCATTGCCTCGGGATTGCTATCTCGTGGCCTGTGGGTAGAGTGCCAAGCAAAGCGAGGTAGACTGTCTTTGCACCTGGAGGCTCTATTTTTCGTGCTTCTTTGCACGCCCCCCTCGTTCCACCCCGCCCCAAAAAGAACGAGCAAGGAGGAAATGTTGCCTGTAACTAATGTCCACCCCTGAATCTTAACGTTTTCTATCTTTAAGATTAAAATTCTTTTAGCATAATCCTAACCATTGCACTGTGTTCTCAATTACCTAGCGTACATTTCAATCATTGGGCCCTTGTCCCTGAATAGTGTTTGTATAAATTCACATACAACTATCCATTGTAGGAATATTTTTTCTCCTATGAGCTCATGATATTTTCGTTTCATCCCAAATGCATAATAACTAGAACTGGAAATGCTATGTACTACTTTGCACTTTAGGAGGAAAGGTGCAGTATAAATAAGTAAATAATTTGGCTGTTCTTCAAAGTAATGGCTGGTATAGATTTTGTGCACCTTTAGGGTATTCATGGACTGGCTCTGACCAAGGGAGAAAACGTACTGTATATTTAAAGACTACGCAAAGTTTGCTGCGCTGAGAAAAAACATGGAGACACCATGGGGACATACTAGAAAAAAGATATGCCAGAGGATATTCTTGCCAGGGTTAGATGCAAATGAGGAACTATTTATTACAATCAAATCCAGTTTTTTCATACTTCCCTCTGAATCCAGGGATTAAATAAAATAAAACCTGATTTGCAGTTCCAACCCTAACTACAAAAGAAAAGTATGAATATTTTTAAGGATCCGAATAGAGCTATATTTTAAAAAAAGATGTGATTATAATTGAACAAATGCATCTCACAGTCCATTTCTCATAGTCTTCATGTCCATAACTCCTAATCACGTTTTGCTTAAATTGTTAATTATATTTTAAAATATTATTGTGTTATGAAGGGAGCAGGACAGCATAGGGTAGTATTTCATACAAAGTGTTCCAGTTAAAAACTTGTCACATGCTTCATTTTATAATAACTATTACTAAAATGGTGCCTTTTTCTATTCAGTGCCTTGCGTTTCATGATATTTCTCCACAAGCTCCAACTCATTTCCTAGTGATCCCCAAGAAGCATATTGCTCAGATATCTCAAGTGGAAGATGCCGATGCAGGTGTAAGTATTGCAAAAAGACTTTCTATTAAATAGTGGCCAGCTTTTCAGCAATAAGAGGTTAACTTGGATCTAAATTTGAGAGATCTGAAGAAGGATGAGTAAAGTTTTGGTAGGTTTGCTAAACCAGCAAAAGGTCAGAGTTTTAGTTCAATGATTAGATTGTTTTTTTAGACTAATAACTTCATTGTTACTTTAAATGTACAGTAATCAGCATAGGTAAAAATGAGATTTCATTGCATATAGCTCTCAAAAAATTACCTCCCATATACACTACATAAACATGACAAACATTATGTATTACACAAACAATCCAGAGAAACAACATAGTCTAGTTCGGATATGTGTGTGTGCGCGTGTATGGGTATATGCATAATTTGTGTGTGTGTGTGTGCGTGTGTGTGTGTGCGCGCGTGCGCACTAAGATGACGTGGGGAGAGACCAATTCAGATTGTTAGTTATCCACACTCCCAGATACTTAATACTGTTGACCACATCTACAACTGCAACTTTAATACAGAGGGGGGTAAATCTACAATGATCTCCTTTGATTAAGGTGATTGTATTATACATATGAGGGACACGGTGGTTCAGTGGCTAAGACCCTGAGCTTGTTGATCAGAAAAGTCGGCAGTTTGGCAGTTTGAATCCCTAGCGCCATGCAACAGAGTGAGCTCCCATTATTTTTTCCCAGCTTCTGCCAACCTAGCAGTTCGAAAGCATGTAAAAATGCAAGTAGAAAAATAGGGATCACCTTTAATGGGAAGGTAACAGCGTTCTGTGTGCCTTCGGTGTTTAGTCATGCCAACCACATGACCACAGAAACCACATGATCACATGATCACGGATGGCTCTTTGGCTTTAAAACAGAGATGAGCACCGCCCCCTAGAGTCGGGAACAACACATATATGAGGGGAACCGTTACCTTTATCTTTATTATACATGTAACACTAAACAGTGTTTCAGTTTTCAAGTTTTTTTTTCAAAGCTTTAACAAATGTTTAAATTTTATTTGAAAAGAATAAAAAACTGTCCAAGATTAGTTCCATGTTTGTCAACAAAAAGAGCTATTTTCTTAGCCTACAGGGGTGGTGTGGGGGCAACAATATATTATTTATAGCATAAGGGGAAGTAAAATTTCAAGGCTAGATGATTTCCCCCCAAAAATCAGGCATTTGTTTTCATTTTTTAAATCTATCAGTTTCTGAGATAACTTTTAAATTGTCATGAGAACCCAAATCTTGAATGGCAATTCTTGCTACAAGAAGATTAATTAATTTCAGCATAGTGTTCAAACTACTGGAATACAATAATATCTGGACAGTTCTTATAGTTGTAGAAATTGTAGCTGGACATCTTTCATTGCCTTGTATGGTAACTATCTGAAAACCGATGCTATCACTGTTAAGTTTCTACACAAGATTTATTTGGATTGGGTACTATATTCTAAACAAGGTTAATTTGCATTGCATGTTATATTTAGTTATAAATATTTAGAATTTATGTAAAAAATAGTTACAGTGCAATCACAGTTATGTATTGTTACATTTTCAATTTATTCTTCCTATACAGAGCAGCAATGGCTAATAACAGATTTCTGCATAGCCTTTTACTTTCCCCAAGTTTCTCCTTGAGTGGTTTTTAAAAAGGTAGTTATACAACCTACAATAAAGTATCTGGGAATGCTCCCCTGAGAGCATAGGTTGCATCTTCCCTAAACATTTTTATGTCAGGTTAAAAGAAGGAAGAACTGGGTTTCACCCCTCCCCCCTTTTTTTGCTGTCATTTTTCTGAGCTAATCTACAGTGTAACAATAAGTACATCTGCTGAAAGGAACATTTGAGAAATGGCTGAATATGCAATCTGCTTTCTCCCTTTTATATTGTATGTTCCCCACTTTTGGTGAGGTAAACAGTTACTGATGCCAAAACTGTACTGTAGACCAGTGGTAGTCAACCTGGTCCCTACCGCCCACTAGTGGGCGTTCCAGCTTTCATAGTGGGTGGTAGGGGTTTTGTCCGATACTGAAGCACTTTCCTTTTTTAAAATTTAATTGACTTTTTTAAAAAAATCATAGCATTATTTAAAAACATTTTCATTAGGTTTTCATAAAATCACCATTACTGTGGAACTGGTGGGCAGTTAGAAAATTTTACTACTAACAGAGATANCCCTTAAAACCTGGCTGTTCCGACAGGCCTGGGGCTAAAGAGCTGTTGCCCCTGTCTCGAATGGTATGACTGTTGTATGTTTTTAAATTATGCATTGTGATGCTTTGTTTTTTAAATTTCTTTTTGTCTCTATTCCCCTTCCCTGGTTGAGTTGTGAGCCGCCCTGAGTCCCCTTTGGGGGAAAAGGGTAGCATATAAATGTAATAAACTGAACTGAACTGAACTTTTATATAAATTTAGGCCTAATGTAGCCAAATTTTCAGCTGCCAGGATTAGGTGCATTAAAAAACTGTTTTATGAATATGTTCCCCATGTGTTGTTTTATTTTTTATTAAGCTTGTTCTTAGGTCTTTTGATGTACTAAATTTTCATTTGTATTCATTTTTCTTTTCTTATTTGCATTCAACTAATTTATCTCAATGCACGAGTGTGTGCCCTCCTTTATTTAGAAAGCAGAATAACTTAATATTGTATCTTGAATTGGGAGCAAAATAAAATATTGAACTCATGAAGCATAAAACCTTGATGAAAGGTCCAGAAAGCTTTATATTATTTTAAAATTTCAGGAAATTTTTTAATGTATTCATAGCAAGAATGTGAAATCAAGGTTTGGAGCATATAAATACGCTGAGTGATGAAACATGTTTTAATCTAGAGGTATACATATCATGGGTGAAATTCAAATTTTTTCCCTGACGGCTCTGTGGATGTGGCTTAGTGGTCATGGCTTGGTGGTCATGTGACAGGGTGGGAGGGTGTGGCCAAATCGATATCACTTCTTTGCCCTAATGACCTACAAAAAGATATACCAATTATTATACACAAAATAATAAGAGGTACACAAATATTTACATAAGAGCAATAAGACTCTTATTGCTCATATGAAAGTATTTGTGTACCTCTTTTATTGTTTTGTGTATAATAATTGGTATATCTTCTTTTTGAATTTCACCCCAGATCTATCTACTTGCTTTCCCCAACCTGGTGTTTTCCCGTTTGTTATTAAACTACATGTCCAAGCATCCTCGTAACCTCGAGGGGTTAATGGTAGTTTCTGTGTGCTTAATAAAGTAGACAAGAGCTGATAGCTGGATGGAGTTTGTTTTTCTGTTTGATAAGATTCTTATCTGTGATTAATATGTATATGTATATACACTACACATTATATACATAGAGAAATTAGGGAACTGTGTCTCCAAGGGTAGACTATAGCTGAGTCAGCTCAAAATTGTCACCAATATTTTGGGTCTTTCCTTTAAGTCAGGGGTCTCCAAACCTGGCAACTTAAGACTTGTGAACTTCAACTCCCAGAATTCCCCAGCCAGCATGGTAGAGGGCATGGGTGGGGCCAACCAGGGGCGATTTGTACCGGCTCTGCAAACCAATTCAAATTGTCCCTACCACCTCTCCCGAGCCAGGTCGAAGTGGTTGAATTTCACCCGATACATATGGATGAAAAAAGTGAGCAACTTTGCTTTTCTCACTTCTTAATACGGAATTTACCTGCAGAAGTCTGATTTTTTTTCCAGTCCCTTTGAGGTTGCAGGGAAGAAAAAGATTAAATTCTTGCTCCAGCAGCCCTGCTACAACTTTCTTTTAAGGTTTAGAAAGGCCCAGTGCTCAACCCCTTCTCCAATAATGTGCATATACAGAATGTATACCTTAAAAAACAGCATGGAGGCTCAAATACAACTACATGCTAGAAGTAATAATCATACCTTAAAACTATGTTTTTAAACACTATGTTTTTAAGTAGCTTTCTACTGGGGAAAGGATTAAGCATTTGTTTCTTTAGTAAAACTTGTTTTACTAAAAAAAAAAAACATTCTTACCATCTAAGCTTCTGGTGTCACCTTTGAACACATTTTGCCTTGTCCTATGTAAAATCTTGAACACTTTCAAGACCTGTAAATACAATAGAATGTTAAAAGTTTTAGATTCTTATGTTATGAAGAAAGCACCATTTGCTCAGTTAAATTTGAAGTAGATATATTGGGAAAATAAAATATAAAAATTCTCCAAGAAAAAGCATTTGGTCATAGGAGAATGAAATGAAAATGATTCCTAGAAATAGCAGCTACTGTAAATGCTGATGTAACAAGCAACCCACATTCCGGCCTCTAACATAGATAATGGTATGTGAAACTCCGCATAAAAGACCATAATATGATGGGTAGATAGGCAAGCCTCTAGAAAGAAAAGTTGTTAAAGAAGACATTTCACAGTTATTCCAGCTATATGTCCGACACAATAATACTTTAAAATTTAAGAATGCTAGTTTTTAGTTTTACAAGGCCAGATGAGCCTTGACCTTATTGGTCTTCTGGAATGGTCTGAAGATTTGGCTTTGCCATTGAACTTGGGATCTGGTAGTGGCATTGTGGAGCCTGGTAGATGGTTACATTGTTAGCATGTTGAACTACATGCTTGCAGATTACTGCTACGTCTTTTTATGGTTTTTCATAGTTTTTACTCTTTTAATATATTTAAAGTGTTTTTGTTATGATTTTGGTTAATTTTTGTAATGTCTTTCTGTTTTAACTTTAAGAGCTGCCACATATTTGAGTTGGGCAACATACAAATAAATAAACTTTGAGAGAGAAGATGATGTCATCTAATCTTTTGATGCTAGAAATGTGAAAGTTATTATTTGGAGGTAAGCACTGAGCAATTAATAAATAAACAAATCAAACTAAGGGAAATTTGACTCAGTACTTCAAAAATGCTGAAATGTACTGCTTAAATAAAGCCAATAAGGTAACTGCTTAAATAAGCCAGTTACACTACTGGCTTAATTAAAATAGAGACATCAGTAATGGTATTGTTTTTAATATACAGAAATCAAATTATTAGCAGTAAGAATTCTTATAACACTTATTTTTGCAAGCCCCGGTTTTTAGTTTATAGAGAAATAGGTGGAAGAGGAATTTTTAGAAAAGTTACTGTTTCCTAATTTTTACAGACAGGAAAGAAATATATAAACATTTTCAATCTCTTTAATTTGACGAGTGAATGGGAAAAAATTCCCATAAAAATACTAAGTGGTTGGCAGAAAGACCAAAATACACTCATGTCACTCAAAATACTTAATTGGAATGAATACTGTTTTATAAGAAGAAATAAAAATATCCTTATGAACTGAGATATCAAAGAAAACAAAGTAAACCCCAGAGTAAAAATATATATATTTACACCTTATTTTACAAAACATAATATTTTTAAAACATGTACCACTAACAGGAATTCTATAGATGTATCTTTCCAGTTTAAAACAGGTATCACCTACTATATTTCTGCTTGTCATATAACTATTCAGAATACATGAGTTTTGGAGATGAAACAAAAGTGGTGATAGCAGCTTTTATGGGAGTGAAGCAATAGACATTTCATCTCATTGAATGTATAAGCTATGTACCCATTTAAATGAGAACCAGTCTGGCACAGTGGTTTAGCCATTAGGCTAGAAACCAGGAAACTGAATTCTAGTTCAACTCAGGCATGAAACCAGTTGGTGACCTTGGGCCAGTCACTCTCTGTCAGCCTAAGATAGACAGTGACAAACAATTGGTGTAAATCTTGCCAAGAAAACTACAGGGATGCCAGGCAGTTGCCAGGAATCAACCTTGACCTGAAGACACACATGCCATTTAAAGAGGGAAAAAACAAAGTAGGTGGCTTATCAAAGATTGTGAGAAATGTAGGGCTAATACATTATACTGAACTGTAACATACTGTATTAGATTCTGGGTTAGTGTGTTGTGTGAACCAAGATGTAGCGTGGTATTACAATAGGGCTCTACAGCATTTTAGATGATAGGAAATTGTAGTCTAATTCAGTATATCCCAAGTAAATCATAAGAAAGCAAAAAGTAATTCTAAAGGAAAAAAAAACAACTTACTATCATTTGAACATCATGGTATAATCACTGGCTTTATCACAACCTCACTTTTAAGATCAGATTACCCGGCAGGTAAAAAAAATTCAAGGAAGTTTTCAAGGATTCATATATTGTACACATATTTTGAAACTCAATCGGTCATAACACAATTACTGTTGCTAGCTTCTGGGCAAGATCTGTTTAACTTGTACATATTTTAATCTTGTATTTTATATTTTAAATTTTAGGCCTTATAGTATGCCTTATTTTAATTTTGATGCTTCGAACAAGGATAAGCAAACATACCCGTAGTAACAGTGTGATCAGGCAGTGAAGTAAGAAAATCAAGAAAAAGGGGGAATACATCTCTTACATATTCATCTGTACCATATTTTCACACACTCCAACTAAATAATACATTTGTAGGAAGATAGCACCCACCCATCTCCTAGAAAATGAAATATTTTAGGAAATATTAAAATGGCAGAATATTTCCCCCTAAAAGGGAGGCAGAAACTCATTCCCCCCACCTTTGTCAATTAGGACCCAGAGA